ATAGCTTCATTCTTCTCAACAATACCACATCTAATCATGCCAGTTTGTAATTCCTGATAATATTCTTCTACAGAATTTTTTCCTTGTCTTAAACGCTGCAATTTTTGGAGTAATTCACGTTGATAATATGGTGAAACCCAACGAGTACGCATAGCAGTTTTCAAAGCAGCCCAAGTAGTTGGAATAGGATATAATCTACAATGCTCAGACCACCAAACACATGCAAAACTAGTGAATGCACAAACAACAGCAGGAACACGTCTCTCCTCGGGATACTGTAAACATGTAAATCGTTGTTCAGTTTCTAACTCCCAAGTAAGATATATATCAGGAACATATCTACCCTCAAATGGTGGAATATTCAATTTTAGTTTAGGGAGATGGTCATGATCTCGTACCTGAGGGTGAGCCCTACCATTGCCATTATTTGCATGTGGACGACCTGGTGGTTGCTGTGCTGGTGGTGGCACGTAGTTCTGATTTTGATCAACCTCATCCTCGTAATCTCCCGCAAAATCATCCTCCTCCGCATCAGCAGCAGGAGCCACAGAAGTATCAACAATAGTACCAACAGTTTGGCCAGGTGCAAGAGGGAGACGGCTCGCTCGGCGGAGGGCTGTTTCGCGATGTGGAGGTAGTCGTCGTCGTTGTTGCTGTTGTTGTTGTAGAGGTGCGTTAGCTGCAGCCGGTGGTGGTGGTGGAAGACGCGCGAGCAATTCATTAAACCTGTTATCGAGCTTTGTTTCGAATGTCTTCTCCATGCCATCTATCTTCTCCATGGCCTCTTCAAATCTGTTTAGCACATCTTGCACCTGTCCACTCATCATTTGCTGAAATTTATCATGCAACTCCTTTTTCGTCATGTTCTCCCAGTCAGTTTCGTCGGCTTGTGATCCTGCCATGGTTAGCAACAATAGAAACACACAAGAATATGATCCTATAGACTACTAACAAGAGGTGGTGGTGGTGTCACAAATCCGTCAAGCAAATCTCAAATTCTTACCAGTTCTTACCCAGCAGCAGGCGGTGATCGGCAACCGTCGTAGTCAAAAACTCTCAAAGCTTGGATAGAGCGATTACCAGGGAGAGTCAAACGCACGACGTAGATGTATGTGGAGCTGGGAAGGCTTATAATATGGTAGCAAAAAGGGTCAGCAATAATCAATTCAAAGATGCAAAGTTGAATAAACGCTCAATGACGGTACTGTGCTAGTCCTAGGCTAGACCGTGCTAGAGACGCGAGCCTAGAACACTAACAAAATCACAGTGCTCCACGTAAACAATGGAGGAGCACACTCTGAATTTTTTTTCCACTTTTTTTGCACTTTTTTCCTTTTTTTTGCTCCGCAATAATTTTTTTTCTTCGAAAAAGTCTACAAATGGTCTAAAAACTGCCTAGCCAGAATTTTCCAGACTTAGTTTTTTTTTTGAGTTTGGAACTATTTTTCTTCTGCGGGTAGCACGTAATCTCGGGAGTCCTACGCTGTCACGACTCGGAGTATGGCGTGATATGGGACTCAAAAACAAAGCAACAAATACTGGACTCGGACTAGGACTGGTGGCGGAGATGAATCTGGTGGAACCGGACTATGGTGGTATATCTGGACTCGGATTGGTGGTGGTATATGGCGATGGTATATGTGGACTCTGATTGGTGGTTGTATATGGCAGCGACGATGTATATGGTGGGGTGGTGGTATATGGTAATGATGATGACGATGGTGCGGCTGCGGCGTGACAACCTGTGAACAGAACTCGAAACTCTAAGTGACTAGACGCTAAGACCAGCAACTCGACACGACGATGCAACCGCAAATTCAACAAAGCAAAACTCTAAAAAGACTATGCAAAGGCTCAGATTGGTTCGGATATGATGACCGAACCCTAATTTTGTTGGCTTTTTCGTGGACTATAGGTATGAAGAACAGACTCGACCTAAACTACGAAAACTGTAAAATCTCACCGAGCAACCTGGAAATCTGATACCACTTGATAGAGGCAAAGGTGTCCCGTCGTTCGATGAGATAGTGGCTATCGTTTTAGAGGAAGTCGACTTTGATGATCCGACTATGAACGTGCAAGGACGTCGCGCCTTAGCAATCGCTAAACCAACTCCGAGGGGTTATTGACCACGCCGGAGCACGATCAACCTGACAACGAGGGCCTGTTTCCTGCGAGCAAACGAAGAACAAGCAAGAAACTGAGATTGCAATCTTGATATTGCGAATATAAGATGAAAGCTTTATTGATCAAGGTGGGATTCTGTGACGTCTTGGTCTGGTCGTTGGACACAAACGAAGTACGCGAAGTTGCAGCTACGGCAAACTTTTAATCCAAACAAAACCCCAAAGTCTAAACGACGCCCTAAGGGCTGTATATATGGAGGAAGAGGGGGCAATTTCGTGGCCCTTGGAGGAGGGGTCCGAAACCAACCCTAACTCTTGTTTCCCCACACATACGGACTCTAAAAACAACATATACTTAAGTATTTCGAAAATACATGGGCTTGGCCCAATAATAAGGTGACGCAACACCTAAAATAGCCTCTGGACGAAATTTATGAAGTGGCATCTTGTATATTTCATCCAAGGCTTCATGCACTCCTTATGGTGGCTTCAAAGTCTTGAAATCATTACTTGTAACTCCGTTCTGGATCCCCTTGCGCATGCCATCATCTCCACGCTTGAACTTGTTCCAAGGTTCATCTTTCTTGTCCAAGCTAGGCCCTTCATTTGTAAGCAAGACAAATGTATCCAATTTAGGCAGCATCATATTCTCATGAACATTAGAATCGTTACCAAGAAACGGAAGTACCTCATAATTCAATTGGCGTGCGCGAGCTCTAGTAATTGGTCCAATATGTATAACAGCAGGGGCTGTGGGTGTAACAATGGTATTGATGTCCTCGTCATCAACTAAATAGACTTTTCCTACGACTATCCAATGGGGAGATGAATCTCGCCACCGAACAGTTCAAATCACTAAAGTACAACCCCTTTAAACCCGAAGTAAGCCCTATAGACCATTAGCAGTATGGGTCAATGCGAAGGGGCCGGGGCGATTCACCATCTAACCAACATCAGAGAACAAAATCGCACGGAAATCTCACTTTTTCATCTGAGTGAATTCGTCTAACCCTACCAAAAACTGGGGATGAATTGGTTGTGTAGGGAGCAATCGAGGAGTTTCTCACTATATTTACGAGCTGGCTCTCCGCGAGCTCGACGACAAGGCTCCGTCATTGTCACCTTCATTGTTACGATCCATCATGGCTCCACCTTCCACCAATCGAGAGGAGAGAACCAGGCAGACAAAACGGCGTGTACTGATTTGATAGATTTGGGAAAGGGAGGGGATGGGGTATGAGCAATAACGACTGGCCTCGCCTCTCATACCAAGCGAGGGGCCTTTTGTGCAAAAAAAGTAAAACCATGAGCTTTTTTCGCAAAAGAGTAGTGGCCGCACTGACACGTGTCTCTCTCTCTGAGGTCGTTGTCGCTGACAGCAACCCCCACTCCATGCTGGCAAGCCACACTAAACGTCAAACTGAGCACCTGTGACAAGTAGGGTGCCCCTATTAGGCGCCAGAAAGCGAGTTAGCGCTCACGCGCGCCCCAAGCGGGCCACGACCCAGCATAGTTCGCTCACCTGCCCCTCCCCCCGCTCGCTTCGCTCGCCTAGTTTTTTTTTTCGTTTTTGGTGGTGTTGATATGGTAAAGAAAAATCAGCCGGTTTTTACTACTTATGAAATAATTTGTGAAATCAAAAAAGTTGTACCGACTTTACAAAAAAAGTTCATCCATTTGAAAAACAGTCATCTATTTTGGGGAAAAGTGTATCCATTTGAAAAAAAGTCATTATTTTTTAAAAGTTCACAAATTTGATAAAAGTTCATTGTTTTTTTAAGTTCACAAATTTGAGAAATTTTTTATCAATTTTGAAAAAGTGTTCATCAATTCTAAAGAAAGTCCACAAAACTGAAAAATAATCACCGAATTTTGAGGAAAGTTTATGAATTTTGGGGGAAAATCAGGAATTTAAGAAAAGAAAAAAATAAAAATAAAAGGAAAGAAAAGGAAAAATAAAAAGAAAGAAGAAAAAGAAGAAAAGGGAGAAGTGATCAAAACATGCATTTTGGTCCGGGTGGTTAGGGCAGTTTATTGAGTGCAAGGAGATCCCGTGTTTGACTCTCCATGCGGGCGCTTTTTTGCAGTTTTAATAGAAAAAACTAAACGGACCGGCCCGGGGGGGTGTGTCCATTTGCAAGCTTGAAGAGCCAAATTGAAAATCAGACCAATTTTCTCAAAAAAAAATCGCAAAAAATTGTCATTCATACACACTAGTCCTGTTGCACATGTGTGCGCAGGGGCGGATCGACCCGCATTAGACCTTGTACAATGGAAGATGCTTATGAAGGTGTTTAGAAAAATAAATCAGGCTTTCCTTAAACACCGGTGCTTATTTGTACAGGGTAGACGCTTAACTAAGCGTCTCTTCTATAAAAATAGGCACCGATGCTTCAGAAAAAACTTGATTTATTTTTTTAAGCACCTCTTTAAGCACTTCCTATTATACAAGGCCTTAGAGCCACCGGACATGCAGCCATTCGGGTAATGTTAGGACGCGCCCGCGAGACTCGATCCACCACACCCAGCCGTTTGACCGTTGAACAGTTGTGAGCCGGGAATATCTAGTAAAAACGTTCTCGGATTTAATCCAGGAATTTTCCTTCACTAGATCATCACAGACAGCGAGAAGGGCCTGCGCAGATAGACAGTCACCGACAGACTGGCCTACGCACAGCAAGGGCCACGTGTAATGGGACCAGCACATGTGGCAGCCCAGTCCGCGCCTGCTCTTGCAGCAAAACGGCTCCGCTATTTCCATGCTCGCCCTCTGCTCTTTAAATACCATCCACTCCACCCACATTCCCCACTACCAGCCCTCCGGCACAAAAACTGCACGATTCAATCCGTTCCAAAACAAGGGTAGCCGTCACCATGGCGAGGGCAACGACACTGGTGCTCGTGGCCGCGCTCGCCGTCCTCCTCCTCCTCGCCTCAGGCCCCGCGGGCGCCACGGCCGCCCGAACCTCGCCCAAGGACGTGGCAACGGCATCTCCCAACGAGGTACGCACGCGCGCGCAGGATCGATCTAAAACATTTTCAAGGACTCTCGGCCGATCCTCCATCGATTTCTCATCTTCTTTTTTAACCGATCCCGTTGTGTTTCTTGCAGAAGGTCGCGGCGGCGGCGGCGGAAGACCACGAGTGCGAGATGATGGCCGGCGAGAAGCAGCGGGATGAGTGCATGGCGAGAAGGACGCTCGCCGCGCACACGGACTACATCTACACCCAGGAGAAGCACAACTAGTAGCCTTCATATCTGCGTCCATGTAATGTAATGATGTTAGTCGGCACTGCGTCCGCGTGTTCGATCTCTATCCTATAGCTTCCTTCATAAAAAAGGGACCGATCCCACCGTGCATGCATCGCATGCATGCATGGCGCACTTATGTATTGCCTATAATTTAGTAATTCGATAATCAAACTTGGTTTTATTGCTCGGTTTGCAACGTTAATTTGCTTAATTAGTTTGCCAAAATTAATTGTTTTGGAATCAAGGCTGGCTTTCTTCTGGCACTCGATCGGAGCCGAACTTGACCAAAACCAGACCAGCTCATTCGGTCACATGACGCCAAAATCAGTTTGCTTTCCAGGCGCTCCACGGCCGAACGACCCACGGAAATCGCCGAATCTGTCACAATTCATCTTCAGCGCACACTGTTTCCCACAAGGCAAAAGAACAAAAATCAGATACAAGTGAAGAAAACACTCTCGTACGTGGACCATGATGACACCAAACAATCGAAATCGGCAGCAAGTAAACAAATCTTGTACTGGTAGTCAGTCAGTATACGTACGTATTCGCTGATACAGGCACGGTCTACGTCGGCTTCGTTCTTCTGGATGCCAGCGAAGACTTGCTGACGGATGCGACGCAACAGGTCAAATATGCGAAGAAAGAGCATATAATAGCCAGATTGGGCGTCAGATTTTGGGCAGCGACAGCGGGGACCATTTGACCTCGCTCAGATGATGCTCAGATCAACCAGACCCGTGCGGAAAGGAAATCTGGTTTTCCTGTTGGATCTGCATAGCATGAAATTTAAAGTATCTCTGAACATGTCTCACGGGAAACGTAGGAATCGACAGTTTTTTGCGAGCTAGGTCGAGCCTAGCGCAAGCGAGTGGGCCCTTGTACGAGCGGAGACGCGAGGGATGCAAGGTGATTACCTGAGGTCTTCTTCAACCTCCGATAAGCTCCTGTCCAATCTCCTACCTTTGATCTACACAACGGTGCTTCAGTTCGAAGTAAGCTCTACATGAAAAAGATGCACCTCGATGCTACGGTTTCATTCAGGCGATCGGTTTGTAGTTTCATTGACCGTAAGTTCTTAATCCCGTATTCCCGTTTGGAGCTATTTTGAACGAATTTTGTCAGATTCATCGCGCACGATTATGTCGAGCTCCTGTGTCCTCTGCTCAGAGTCATCCTATTCATCCTTCTCGATGCCGAAGCCCTTCCTCTTGATCTCCTTGCCCGCGTGCTACTACACTAGAGTCGTTTCCGGAGTCACTCATCTCGGCCTACTCTCTATCGCTGCAATGGCGTGCACACTGCTTTTTTGTGTCCTCTACCTCCGTGCACACTGCAGTTCGCCGCATCGTTGACGGGGTCGATCATCTTCGCCTCCTCCCTCTCGCCCTACCACACTGGAGTCGTTTCCGGCGTCGATCATCTCGGCCTCCTCTCTCGTCCACTGCACTGACGATACCATGACGCGAGCACTGCATTCTCCTCCTTTGTCCACTGTCTTTGCGCGAGCACCGCAACTAGTTCGCCGACGGTGTCGCTCGCGTGCCGCCGACAGGGTCGCTCGTCCACGACTCCATGCTTTTCATGTCGGACACGGCGCCACGACCACTATCCACCATAGTCGTTATTGTCCGGCGTGCACTGCACTTCTTCTCCCCTTCCCTCTGCTAGCTCTTAACCCTGTCTGCTAAGTGAAGTGCTAGATCTTAATCATACCTCATGCATGCAACCAAACACCAAGTTCATGTGCTGCTTGGGCCAATGCAGGCAACCAAACAAAGTGCACTTGCATATTAGTTAATGCAAGGACCCTAGATGCAGGCAACCAAACAACTTACAGATGTCACATACGAGGCTGTTTTTTCATAATCAAACTGGGTTGAGATGTGTATGCACGACAACTACTATTCATTACGCCAACCAAACACGCCCTAAATATATGAGGTTGACGACAGCGTACCTGCCGCTGGATGTTTACAACTCTAGATATGAAGATACTCCTCTACCGTTAAAGAAAAAAGGATACGCCTCCAGAACGCTTTTGATGACGACCGTCGTGATTTTGACAACCTATATCAGCTAAATAGTTTTGTTAAATTACATCTAGATGTATCCTAAACACTCCACATCTAAATCCTACTCCCTCTGTCCGCGAATAAATGTTAGCTTTTGTCTTAAGTCAAAGTTTTAAATTTTCGACCAACTTTACAGAAAAAAGCAGCAGCATTTATGGCACTAAATTAGTATCATTAGATCCGTTTTGAAATGTACTTTCATAATATACCAATTTGATGTCATATATATATGTCACTGCTCTTCTCTATAAAGTTGGTCAAAATTTAAAAACTTTGACTTAGGATAAAAGGTAGATATACATTTATTCACGGATGGAGGGAGTATGTCATTGATTTTACCCTAACTAAAATTATTGTTGTGAAGGAGAAGTTTCATCTGAGGAAATCTCTTGTTCCGTCTTCTGAATTGGTGTGAGCCTTGGATTTCCCTTTGCCGGGTGGCTTTTGATCAATTCTGATGCCCATTTCCCTACTTGGCACCTGCAGCGCCGGTTACACATAAAACGTTTTACTTTGGTTTTTCATTTTCTGTTACTTTTATTTTAATTTTTACTATTTTTATTAAATGTATGAACTTTTAAAAATTTCACTAACCTTTTTCAAATCTGCGTAATTTTTTCAGTTCTTTGCCAACTTTCTAGTGAACTTTTCTCCAAATCTGTGACTTTTCAAAGTTTTTTCCAACTTCTTTGCTAATACTTTTTTTCAAAATCTGTGAACCTTTTCTTTGAAATCTATGACTTTTTTTAAATATGACTTTTTTCTCAAAATCAATGAACTTTCTTCAAATACAAGATTTTTTCCCAAGGGCCGTGAACTTTTTTTCAGTTTTTTGCAGCTTTTTACTAAACTCTTTTTTCAAAAATCCGTGTACCATTTCTTCGAAATCGATAATTTTTTCAAAACCGATTTTTTTCAAAATCAATGAAATTTCTTAAAATCCGAGAACTTTCTCAAAAAATCCAAGTACTTTCTTCAAAACCCATGATTTTTTTACAAAATCAATGAAAATTCTCAAATCTGACAAAATTTTCAAATGGGCCGGCCCAATAAAGCTTGCACATGAGCGCCGCCATGCCAAAACTGGCGCATAATGTGCCAATGAGGAACTCCCATTCTGATGGACCTCTTGCATCAAATAGACGGCTACAGCACAGTGGTTCGTCTACATGGAAAGCGAGTACTATAGCGATCCGAACGACTGTAGTGACCGCTGCACCGCACTGAGTTGATCTACTGCAATGGACCAACAATGTAGCATCATGTTCAATGTAGCGAACTGATTTTTGAATATGTGAACAAAATTTGAAAACGGGAACTTTATTTATCCCGGATCAAAATTTCAAAATGTGACTTTTTAATAAAAAAAATCCTGAAAGCCTTTTCATAATACGAACATTTTGAAATTTGTGAAAAATTACGAAATTGGAAACTTTTGAAAAACAAAAAATAAAATAGCAACATTTTACAAAAACTGAAGAAATGATTTAAACGATTTTTAATCGAAATTTCTAAACATTTTTATAATATGTGAACAAATTTTGAAAACCAAAAAGTTCTTTGGAGTTAAGTACAATTTAATGAAAACAATTTTCTTGGAAACATGGACAATTTTTAAAAGTCCAAAGAATTTTTGAAGATTTTTGAAAAAACAAAAAAGAGATAAGTAAACAAAAAAGAAATATTAAATGATGAAGAGAAAGAAAAACCTAGATACCGAAAACCCATAAAGAAAAATGGGCAGTGATCTGCGCCGGGGCACCGGCCCAACTGTTGGGCCGGTCCAGCGCCAGCCGCCCGATGCAGCGAGATTCAACCGTCCGATCCTGCACGCTTTCACTTTCTCATCTTCTTCTTTCTCCATGCGTGCAGCGCGAGCGCTGCCCCCTTCTGCCTGGATGTCCTCTTGGCAGGCAGCGACCACCCCCTCATCTAGGCCTCCTCCCCCTCCGCCATCCCGTGCCGCTGGATGCCGTGGTCGCCGTCGGTCGCTGCCGTCGTCTCTCATGTTTCTCGTCAGATCCATGTATGCAGCAAGCTTTCACCCATGGGCTGCAGCTCCTCATAGCGACAGTCGTAGCTCCGGGGGAGGCGGTCGCAGCTTCTAGTGGCAACGGTCACCGGTCGGAGCACCTCCGGCGATGCCCTCACAAAAAAGTACTCTTCTTGGGGTGCCGATAGTAGCAAAAAAATCAGTCGCTTGTAGCAAAAAAGTGTATCAGTTCCAACAAAAAAAGCTCGCCGCTGTCGCTCGCCGTCCTCGTTGTAGCATAACTGTTTACCGGATGTAGCTTCCTTGTTTGGCGGTTGTAGCAGATAATTGATATGGTTGTAGCAAAAACCAAAACAATGTCGGTCGGTCGCTGCGTATGGTGGTAACAAACCTTGTTGCCGGTTGTAGCAGAAATCTTCATGGTTTGCAGCAAAAAAAATGTTGACGCCCATCGTCGAGGTTGCATCATCTTCACGAACCTGTATAGCAGAAAAATGCCGTCGCCGGTAGTAGCAAATGAAGGTACCGGTAGTAGCAAAACAAAACGCTAGTTCCAGCAAATGAAAAATAGCGAAAAACCTAGTATTTGGTTCCAGCAAAAATAATTATCGGTTGTAACATCCCTCGCCACCGGATGTAGCATCTCCCACGGCCGGTTGTAGCACTCCATAATAGGAAAACGAAGCTCTGTATGGGCATCCATGGCGACTGCTGCGTCATCGTGAGCGTCGACCTCACAGCAGTGTGTGCACAGACAGCAAAAACAAAGGGGGAACCGGAGACAGCAAAAATGTCGTCTTCGTTTGGTTGCAACTTGCCGTCAGAGGTAGACGTCCCCGCCGTTGACGCTTTCTCGCACGCGAGCACGTCGTCGCCTGTGAGAGAGCTTGTGGGGTCTCGAGCTGCGTGGGAAAGACTGGGAAGGA